GTCTTCCCTATCTAATCTGTCTGGTTATTATTTCTGGCAGTAGAAAATCAATGCATAGGTACATCTTAGAAGACTCCCATCCATGTTTTCTGGTCCATAGCAGGGTGTCTGCTACACAGGCAACAGCCCTACAAAACAAACAGCTTGGTGCTATTTGAAGCGTAGCACCAGGAGAAAGAACGTGTGAGACTACTGGGTTCTGCCCTAAGGCAAATGGAACAGCACCTAAAAAGACTGAGACACAGGGAAGGGACCTTCCTAATGTGTTGTTTTCTCCACAGAGAGTTCACATTTCAGCTTCTCTGGGGTTAATTCACTAATGGCCATTAAAATACAGCTCATGACTAAAGAACCATAGCCTGACAGCACTTTATAAAGCATGGTAGGTAACGTCATTTCTTTTTTGGCTAGGGGAGTAAAGTATAGGAAAATAAAACAAACACCAGGCACTGAGACAGAGCAGAACCTAAATCAAAGCTCAAGACATGTCCATGACCTGGCTGTTGAGGTATGCAGCATCTCTAAGTGTTACCAAATGTATCACACATGCAGAGCTCCTTCCCCCCAGAACAGCAGCTAGGGCAGCCACAAACAGCAAGAGCTTTCTTTTTGCATCCTGGCAAAACACACATGCATTGCCCTGCACCTTACTGTAGAGATTCTGAGCAATAAGCAGCAGTAAACATCTGACTAAAAAGAAATATATGTCAGCTTAAAGGCTCAGTAAGCTCAGAGAAGGAAGTGCCTGTGGAACAGCAGAGACACCAGCAAAACTTGCTGGCTTTCTGAACACAAAGGGGAAGGAAGGGCTAACAGCACTACAGCTATGAGGCATTACTATTCACAGCAACGATTTTGTCTAGTTGAAATATAGCACATTATAAACCATCCATGAACCCTCAGCTGGTTGGAGCATTTGGCTGCTTAAATATTCTAACTGCTCTGAAGGAGACAGATGTTGGTAGCTCAGGGCCAGGAAGCAGCCCCTGGTCAAACCCATTTACATCAATGATATTTTCCTACACTTTAAGTAATAAACAGTCCTGAAAATGCAGAGGTGCTTGTATTGTGCTAACCACTGCATCAGGCAATGACAATTCCCATGTTTATTGAGGTTTCAGGTTCCAAGAGAACAGTGAGATGCCCCAGACTGAGCTGCATGTTCACCATGCTGACATACCACTGCCTTTCAGCTCGATTATGCTCATTCTCCAACCCACAAGTTATTAACATAAGTGATAGTGGAGAAGCCAATGATGTGTTGCTTGTTGCTGAATTTTGCCATTCTTTTTTGTGGTCCCCAGTGCTGAATTACACTGCACACAAAGCTCTGTGTGTGTGCATATATTTACACTATAACATATGGATGAATTTCAAAAGGAACAGTTTTATGGTGCATATTCTACATGGCCTCCCTACAACTATCAGAGAGCAGCCACAGGGTAATTTCTTTTCTGTACAAGGATCCTTTTTATTTTAAGGCTGAGGTGACAGTTCTATTTTATTCTTTACCAAAACAGAATTAATATGTAGACTTATTTATGAATAGTGGCACTTATGAATAGAAATTACTAGGGATACAGAACAGGAAATGCATACAAGTACAAACCTGGGGTTTTATTGTAAACAGGATCTTCAGAAATACCTGCAGGCCTTTTGCACATCCGATCATCCATTAATTTTGTGCTTAGTGAAAAGAGGCACTTCACTGCATCTCTTCTAGATCTTCAGCTTGCTCATGCATTTTGTGTTTCAAAGATCAACACACGTTTAGGCAATTGTTTGCCGGTTTTAAATCTGGTAATACTGAAATCTGTGCATGATGATCATCATGTAACACAAAGATCTATATATCTCTGTTCTGAAAGTTGTTTTTCTTTCACATATACATTCAGATAAAAAGTTTCAGACTGATCCAGCAGAGCTCAGGGGTACTAGGGTACTTTCTTTAACAGAACAGCCAAGTAGATTCGAGTTCAGTTTACATCCAACTATTTTTAGTTTAGCTTATACACGTAAACTCTCTGGGACTGGACAGAATACTTCACTGAATTAAAACTGAGCAGTGGATCCACCACATAACAAAAGACGCCACTCATCTCTTTAGGTTCTCAGCTGTGTACTTTTATCATACGCCATGTTAATGACTTAATACCTATTTATAAAAATAAAGTAACCAAACACAGATTTGTGAAATCTTTAGCATGATTTAAAGACCCTGCTCCACATCATACTTCAAGATCACTAAGAAGAGCAGGAGATCCTTAAAACCATGTCCCTGCTGTGATGAAAACCAGCTCTCACACTGCAAAAACAACACACTCACAAATACCCTTAAATAGCCAGCAAGCATGGAAACTGCCGTTTCCATACTTGCACCATAATCCTAGTGTCTGGTGCAATGTTTAGTCTTTATGCTGTGGTGTTTCAAGCAGTGGTTATAAATAAAATAGATACCATCAGCCACACACAATAAATCTACATTTGTTAGTCCATCTCTGTTTGCAACATTTATAATATGGCAGGTGCCTGCTGACATTTGGCCTTTTGAGGATTTTGGTAAGAGACAGAACTATTTATCAATTTAAGCAGAGGAAGGGTTTTCTTGGGTGGGTGGTTTTGAGTTTTGGTTTTTTTTTAAACATAGGTTTTATTCAAAACTTGAGCTACCAAAGTACAGCTTTTTATTGTACAGCAATACAGAAACTTTATAAACACTAACCATGAGCAAGGTCTGAAGGGGGAAAGGCACCAAATATATCACTTCATGGTAAGAGAAAAGGATCTTTATAATTTTGTGTGCTCTGTGGCACAAGGACAAGCCAAAAGCACAACTCACATCCATAGCTTTTACATTCAAGCCATCAGCTGAAGTACTGCTGATCCAAGACCATCTTTCCCATCAAGGCCACTCTGCTTTGAATAATTAAACCTACACCAAAGCAAGGACTTGAATCTTACACCACGATCACAGCAACCCCTCGGTTGGCTTCCCCCTTTTTTGCCCCAGTAGTTACTTCTTTGGAAAACGGCATCACCACTAGGTGAGGCTGAGAGAAGCTAACTGTAGAAAAGCCAGCTGTATGCTCATCAGAGCACTCATAGGCTTTGCCTAACCTCAGGCTTGAAAACTGGTCATCTATACTCCAGCTGAGTTTGGCAAATATCAAGAGTATTCATTGTCTGGGTAACAGGATTTAGATTCTTCATTAGGCTAAAAGACCAACAGATGCATTGCCCACCTCACAACAGTGGTCATTCTCTTTGGAGACTGAAGGAAATAATCTTCTATTTATTAGAGTATTCCAAAACACTCCTCTAAAACATAAAGGATATTTAAACCTATTCTCCATTGCAGAAGAAGCAGTATAAGAGGCTTCTTATTCCCTAAGAGAATGAAGATGTAAACAAATAAATGGTTTGTAAAGAATTTGCACAGCAGAGGGTGGAAACTACCAAACAGACCTTTAGTAATATAGAAGAACATCCTGAGTTTGAAGGAACCCATAGGGATCATTGAGTCCGACTCCTGACTCCACACAGGGCAACCTGAAAGTTAAATCATATATCTAAGGGTGTATTTAGGCCATTGAGCTACGTAGCTTCTCCCTTAGCATCAATCCTGGGCAGCAAGGGAGGTTCCTCTGGAAAACAATCACTTTTTGAGACAAATGTGAATGAAGATCAGACACAGGCTTAACGCTCCATCTTACACATTCTTTTATTTGGGGGCTTACTTAAAAATAACATAGCAAACTATAGATACACTACAAAAAAATTACTCCTGACTACGATTCATGCTCACCTCCTTCCTTGACTCTACATTCCAATCAGTGTTTATACTCCTACCTTTTGGTAAGCAATCAAATTACAGTTACAGTTCAGGAGACATTAACCATGTATTCAGCTCACAAAGCTCTAGTAAAGGTATTTAAAAGTCATATTTCATCTGGGAGAAGAACATGGAAACAGATTTTACACTAATCATCTCCAATACCTTTGTATTTAATCTGAGAACTCTTGTTCAGGATCTGACGTGGAAGTCCACACTTTCAAACTGAAGTACACTCTTCTCTTTCTGAACCACCTTTTTAATGAGGGTAAAAGTGATTCAGCTTCAACACATACATTGACACGGCACTAAACAAGTTTTAAATAGACCTCAGCATGACAACATGGTCAAAGAATGGTGTGAAGTTTGGGTTTAAATCTTACATCCTTTAAAATACAGATGAATAAGGGAGCTGAATACTACACAAGCAATATTTAAAATGTAAATTCTATCATTCTTCTAGAACTGTACACAGGCTTTAACTGAACTCACACAATGATGCTCAGTTGACTTCTGAAGAGGAAATTAAGCTGCAGAAAAGAGTTAATTACAGCGATCCCAACAGGGCAATTTTCTGCCTTAACTGATGTCATTCAGTAAATCCTGGTTCTCCCACGACTGAATTCAAAGTACAAAGCAAGTATGAACCCAAACTGAGAATTTACAACTTGTATGCATCAGTGGATTATAGATTATGTAAACAATTTCACTTAATAGCTCAACGGTTGCATGTCTCCTTTTAACAGGCCTGAGAGTACTGCAAAAAGCTTATTATGTAATAATAAAAAAAGTAAAAAGTCTAAAACCTTATGTACTGAAAACCAAAGGCAAACCCGAAAACTTCAGTGGAGACTGTGGTGCTCTGACAAACTGATTTCTAGGACAAAACTGCAGCCAAGCAATGTTGCTTTGCTTAGGATGAACAGGAAATAGTAAAATTATTTTAATATCAATTGAAACCTTCATAAAAACAAACAAACACACAAACAAAAAAAAACAAAAAAAAAAAAACAGCCCTGATTATTCCTGTTCCATGGTATTATTGCTTTGGAACAGGGAAAACTGGCAGAAGGTCAAAAGGGAAGCGCTATGAAAGGAAGAGTACAAACTTCTACTGCAAATGACATTTTGCATTGTTGAAGTAGGAAAACAAAGTCTCACAAAGAAATCATATTAGTGTACAGTATTTATTACCTTCTATTAATCTGAAGTCAATCATTTTGATATGACTAATTCTGAAATAAACAGATATTTTTAAATACATATGAAGAAAAGAGGCTTTAACAGAAGAGTATTTAGTTGATCTGCACTCTTAATCTACATGCAAGATACACTGATCAAATATTGTACAGTTCCTTACATGTTACACCGGTCCACTATTAAGCACAAATTCTGAGGGTGAAAGCAGGGAGAAAAGAAGTAAGTTTTTCAAGTAGCCCTTTTATTAAAAAAGAGCAACATCTATATATTAAGCCAATGTATTTCTCTCTGACTTTACAGTATACATCTCTGCAAAATATACAGCTCACCAATGATACACAAACAAGTGGCCCTTTATTAAGGGCATGTGACAAAAGAAAAGAAAAAAAGGAAGAAATACAACAGAAAATAGTTCTACAGATTAGAAAAGTCATATTTTAGAACATTATGCCACTTCAGCGTGCCTCCAATGCTGGTAAAAAAGGTCATGCATAATGCTTTTTAAGAGAATGTTGTCATTAGTCCATGAGAGATTTGTCTGCATGCTTCACATGAACAGAAAAAGGTACAAGCCACAGGGAAAGGTAGCTTTCTCCAGTTATCTTTTAGGCCTGTCTATGTCATCAATAGTGGCTAACAGCTTCTGTCTTGCCTTTTTGTTGATGTGGGAGCCCAGACAGACATTCACCAGATTGGTCAACTGCTTAGTGGAATATTCCTGGCAAATGAAAGCAAATCATGTTATGGCAGAATAAAACATGAGACGAACATTGAAAATTAACCTCAGGCATAAAACTATGGATTTTCAGCTGATAGAAGCAGTCAGTATGCAACGGAGATTTAAAGTGGTATTTAAGTCAAGTCTGGATAGTTTACACAGTGGAGGCAGAGGACAAAACTGTATTTTGCTATATGGGGGATTATAACAGAAAACGCTTACAATGTTAATAGTGCTGGACTGAGTTCACAGAAAGTAATTCTGTGAATACATATGTATATAAATCAAGTTTTAATGTATTTTCGATGCTTTGGGCAGTATGGTGGGAAATACATCACAGTATCACAGTATCACAGTATGCTAGAGATTGGAAGGGACCTCGAAAGATCATCTAGTCCAATCCCCCTGCCGGAGCAGGAACACCTAGATAATGTTACACAGGAATGTGTCCAGGCGGGTTTTGAATGTCTCCAGGGAAGGAGACTCCACAACCTCCCTGGGCAGCCTGTTCCAGTGTTCCGTCACCCTCACTGAGAAGAAGTTTCTTCTCAAGTTTAAGTGGAACCTCTTGTGTTCCAGTTTGTACCCATTACCCCTTGTCCTATCATTGTTTGCCACTGAGTAGAGCCTGGCTCCATCCTCGTGACACTCCCCCTTTATATATTTATAGACACTTATAAGGTCACCCCTCAGTCTCCTCTTCTCCAAACTATAGAGACCCAGCTCCCTCAGTCTTTCCTCATAAGGGAGATGCTCCACTCCCTTAATCATCTTAGTTGCCCTGCGCTGGACTCTCTCCAGCAGCTCCCTGTCCTTCTTGAACTGAGGGGCCCAGAACTGGACACAATATTCCAGATGGGGTCTCACCAGGACAGAGTAGAGGGGAAGGAGGACCTCTCTCAACCTACTAACCACCCCCCTTCTATACACCCCAGGATGCCATTGGCCTTCTTAGCCACAAGGGCACAGTGTTGGCTCATGGTCATCCTGTCGTCCACTAGGACCCCCAGGTCCCTCTCCCCTACACTGCTCTCTAACAGGTCGTTTCCCAACCTATACTGGAACCTGGGGTTGTTCCTGCCCAGATGCAGGACTCTACAATTTCCCTTGTTATATTTCATCAAGTTATTCCCTGCCCAACTCTCCAGCCTGTCCAGGTCTCGCTGGATGGCAGCACAGCCTTCTGGCGTGTCAGCCACTCCTCCCAGCTTAGTGTCATCAGCAAACTTGCTGATAGTACACTCAATTCCCTCATCTAAATCATTGATGAATATATTAAATAATACCGGTCCCAGTACTGACCCTTGAGGCACTCCACTAGTTACAGGCCTCCAACTAGACTCTGCCCCACAGACTACAACTCTCTGGCTTCTCTCCTTCAGCCAGTTCACAGTCCACCTCACTACCTGATCATCCAGTCCACACTTCCTCAATTTAGCTGCGAGGATGCTGTGGGAGACTGTGTCAAATGCTTTGCTGAGGTCAAGGTAGACCACATCCACCGCTCTGCCATCATCTATCCACCGTGTTATTTCCTCATAAAAGGCTAAGAGATTGGTCAAACATGATTTCCCCTTGGTGAAGCCATGTTGACTGCCCCTCATAACCCTCTTATCCTTGATATGCCTTAAGATGGTACCAAGGATAAGGTGTTCCATCACTTTCCCAGGGATGGAGGTGAGGCTGACCGGTCTATAGTTACCCGGGTCCTCCTTCTTGCCCTTTTTGAAGACTGGAGTGACATTTGCTTTCCTCCAGTCCTCAGGCACCTCTCCCGTTTCCCAAGACTTGGTAAAGATGATGGAGAGTGGCCTAGCAATGACTTCCGCCAGTTCCCTCAGCACCCGCGGGTGCATCCCATCTGGACCCATGGATTTATGGATGTCCAGATTGCTCAACTGGTCTCTAACCCATTCCTCATCGACTAAGGCAAACCGCTCCGTCGACCTGACTTCATCTAAGGTCTCAGGGGTACAGGGCTCTTCAGGACTGCCTGCAGCAGAGTAGACAGAGACAAAGAAGGCATTCAGTAACTCTGCCATCTCTGTATCTTCTGTCACCAGGGCACCCATCCCGTTCATCAGTGGGCCTACATTGCCTCTGGTGTTAGTTTTGTCTGCCATGTATTTGAAAAAGCTCTTTTTGCTGTCCTTGACCCTTCTCGCCAGGTTTAATTCTAAGGATGCCTTAGTCCTCCTAGCTGCCTTCCTACATCCTCTAGCAGCAGCCTTATATTCCTCCCAAGTGGCCAGCCCCTCCTTCCATGACCTGTAAACTCTCCTCTTCCACTTGAGCATACCCAGCAATTTCCTATTTAACCACGCAGGTCTCTTGGCCCTCTTCCCTGACTTCCTACGTGTCGGGATGCTCTGATCTTGAGCACGGAAAAAGCAATCCTTGAATGTCAACCAACTATCTTGGGCCCCTTTACCTTCAAGCAGCCTTGCCCATGGGATTTCCCCTAGCAATTGCTTGAAAAGGCCAAAGTTTGCCCTGCTAAAGTCCAGGGTTGCAATTCTACTTGGTATTCTACTAGTCCTACCACACAAGATCCTGAACTCCACCATCTTGTGGTCACTGCAACCAAGGCAGCCCTCAACCCTTACTGCTTCGACCAGATCCTCCTTGTTAGTGAGGATGAGATCCAGCAGCGCTCCTCTCCTGGTCGGCTCATCCACCATTTGCAGGAGGAAGTTATCACCCATACACTGGAGGAACCTCCTGGACTGCGGCTGGGTTGCTGAGTGGTCCTTCCAGCAAACATCAGGGAAGTTAAAATCCCCCACGACGACCACAGCCTGTGACTGTGAGGCCGCCCTCAGCTGCCTGTAGAAGGCCTCGTCAACTTCCTCACCCTGATCTGGTGGTCTGTAACAGACACCTACAACAGTATCCCCCCTGCCAGCCTGCCCCTTAATTCTCACCCACAGACTCTCAACTCGCTCATCATCTGTCCCTGGACAGAACTCGGTGCATTGTAGTTGCTCCCGCACATAAAGAGCAACCCCACCACCCCTTCTGGCTGGCCTGTCTTTCCTGAAAAGGACATAGCCCTCCATGACTATATTCCAGTCATGTGAGCTGTCCCACCACGTCTCTGTAATTGCCACCAGATCATAGTCTCCTGACTTAACACACGTTTCCAACTCCTCCTGCTTATTTCCCATGCTGCGCGCATTGGTGTACAGACATTCCAGGGAGCGAGCTGAGCACACCGATTTCACCCTAGGATTATAGGAGGCCTCCCAGTCTTCATTAATTCTGGAGCGCTGCCCCACTGGGGCAAGCCCAGCTACAACCCCATCCCCCTTCGAATCTAGTTTAAAGCTCTCCAAATGAGCCCTGCTAATTCGTGCCCCAGCATCCTTTTCCCTCTGTGAGACAAACCTTTCTCACTTGTCATTGTCCAGACTGGTGCCCTATAAAACCAGCTGTTATCAAAAAATCCAAAGCCCTGCCTGTAGCACCAGTCTCGAAGCCAATCGTTTATGGACTGAATCTTCCCATTCCTTCCCACATCAGTGGAAGATGGAAGGAGAGAGGAGAAGATCACTTGAGCCCCAGACTCTTTCACCATCCGCCCCAAGGCCCTGTAGTCTTTCTTCATTCCCCTCAGACTGCGGGAAGCAGCTTCCTCCCCACCTGTCTGGAAGACCAGCAGCGGGTAGTAGTCTGTCGGGTGCACCAGGTTGGGGAGCGCCCTGGTGATATCCCTGATCCGGGCTCCAGGCAGACTACACACTTCCCTATGATGAGGGTCAACTCTGCATATCGGGTCCTCTGTTCCTCTCAGAAGGGAATCCCCTACTACAATGACCCTTCTTTCTTTCTTAACAGAGGCATGCAAATAGGATAAATTTTTTTACTCTTTTTACATTTTTCTAAACAAACTGTGATGAAAGTTAATCATCTTTTTTTGACTTCTCAGCTCCAATAAACTTCTAAATACTTCTGTCTACAGGTTTTCCAAACAACGTTAATTTCAGTACATGATAAAGGAAAAAAATGGCAAAAAAGGTCAAGACTACAATTCTTAACACCTGACAAAACACCACATTTGGCAGTACTACCTTTATACACAACACCATCAAAAACATAGCTTCCACCAGCAGATTTAAACAAGAGTTTTTCCACACAGGTCACCAAACAACAGCTCACAAGCTCTCTTGTGGCTCCAGGTAAAACAAGGAAAACTATATTAAAGATGTATTTCATTCATCTATCTCTAACATGATTTCAAGTAATCCCAAAATACGGATCTCAAAGTGGTCCATTTTAAAAGACTTTTCACTTCAACAATGGGCAGCTCCAACAGCATGTGACTATCACTTATACAGTCCTGTTATAATTGTTAGGTTATGCTATCATGAAAACATGCTAAATGCATTCAAAACACAAATGCAGTCTCATCTTGGACAGCAATGTTATGCAGTATTATTAAGTGAAGGAAGAATAAGCTCTTATCTAGAAAAAAGGTCTTATCCATTGTGCTTTACAATTTAGTTTAAGCAATCTGCTCCTAAAGGTGAAGTAAAACTTCCTCGCGTGGTTTCAAACCATACTTTTTGATGATCAAGAGGTGGACTTTGGCATGTTCCGAACAGCACACAAACATTTTAAACTTAATTTTGCTCTACTTCTCTACATTTTTTGACAGTAAAAGAATGCAAATTTAACTCTTACTTTATGTTCTTTTATCCAGCATTCCATGTCATTTTCTGTTAGGTAGTACGCTTTAATGTAGGTCTCCACAAACTCTTTATCTGGAATAGGTCTAATGTCTGTTAACTTCTCTAGTTTCATTAAGAATTGTTGAAAGTCCAGTTGCATCAAGGCACGTCCTTCATTGCTGCACTTCTTTACATTGGCATAACTGAAAAGAGAAACACAGTGGAAAGTAAAACTTCAAAGGAATTAAAAATAAATGTTACTTCTCAAAGTTGTTTAACTTAGTATTTCAAGCATTGAGGAGGAACATAACTATGGTTTTAAGTTAAAAGCATACAAGAACTTCTCTCAGAATGCCCGATGAAGGGTTTTATTTACATTAGTACAATGTTTTAGCCCCACTCATAGACTAGAGCCGCATTGTACCCATTGATACTTAAAAAAAAACCACCACCATCCCACACCAAAAGCCACTAAAAATTCTACATTGGACAACTTACTAGAAGTGGGTTAAAGGAAATTAAATCAGTGCTGATCAGTGCACTAGACAGTGGCGTCAAGTGATCAATGTCCACTGAAGTCTGAAACGTAACACACAGCTTTAAGAATGGTCCCCAGGAGCTTACTGAATCAACAGTGAACAACATCAGAGAAAGGCACAAAGCTGTTTGTTCAAAAACACCCAGAACAACCAGAGGATAAAGGGTGGCAGCACTGGCTGATCTCTGTGAAAGACTAATGTTTTAATGAGAGTAGATTGACAGAAAACTGGTGACAGGTTTGAGCTCAAAGAAGAAACAGTAGATGAGCTTAGGGCAGGGTAACACCAGGAAGGATTACAATGGGGTGTTAGGCAGCAAATCAGGAAAATTATTTTTGCAGTTTTTAAATGGATAAGAAATTGCATTTGTAAAGATCAAAGGAAATGACACTGCAATGCCCTTAGCAGTGCCAATTTCAACTCTGTACAGGAAATAAAAAAGCTTTGGTATGAGGCACAGCGTATTGATAGACTTAATCCAGCCCACCACTGGACAATGATTCTCAATAGGACATACTGAAGTACTTCAAGAAGCCAGACGGAAAACAGGAAAGAACACAGAACTAGGAGACAGGGCAGGGCAAAATTTAAAGGCACAGGACAAATCGTATCAGAAAGGTATTCCCAGTCCACTCTGACCAGACAGTGAAATGTTTAGGTGAAAGAAAAGGTGAAAGTTTCATGCTTAGTCACAAGCAGGAACCAAAAATGCAGTGTGGAGCAAGACATATGAGTGATGATCTTTGGAGCTAAGAACTAAGTGATTTGTGAACAATGCAGTCACGAAAGATGAGTAACATTGTCAAGAAAAAGAAACAAGTCCAAAACAGGCACAAGGGTTGGGGCATAGTGACTAATGGTGCTACCCACTTGAAAGGAAAAGGGCCAGGGGGTGAAGAAAGATGCTTTTGTTCCACTTTGACTTGAGGCACAATAAACAGAAAACAAAATTTCAAAACGAGAAGACAGTTGTATAGGTCATGTCAGACAAGGGAACCCAGAAGCCAGAGGGAGTTTCATGGCTGGATTTAGTCTCCCTGAAAATGAAATTGATCTCTTAAGAGACTGCAACAGGATGATGGCATAAAAAGAAATGGGCATGAGTATAAAAATGATCATTTCATGGAAGCAGTGGAAGCTGTTGATCCTCAACAGACAGCTAACATTTGGAGAAACAGCATGTTGTTGAGGTCCTAAATTAGACCAGACAGCAGGAGAGTGGGATGGAAGGTAGTAAAATAGGTAGTAAGGAGTGCAAAGGGTAAAGATAACCAAGAAAGAAATATGGAAACATATGCAGAAGGAGTGGAAGACAGCATGTATTCTATAATGCAGAAGTAGTTGCGATGAGAGCCCAGACGTATGTAGCAAGGCGACACAAAAATAAATACAGTGGATGAAAAGACTACAATACTCAGGCTCCAATACTGACTCTGAAAAGACTGGGTCACTGATTAAGGAGGGAGGGATGGGCAAGGTGTAGCAGTTCTTGATTAAGGTGCTTGAGCCTCTATTGATCAAGCCAACTAAGACACCTCTCTGCTTCTGGTGAATTTGGAAAAATCCTGCTTTGTGGCTATTCTAAAATAACTGTTCAGGTTGACAACTCCATCCTTCTTCCTGGCAAAGACAAATGGCATCACCATAGAGATACTGACAATTACACTTCAACATTCTTCTTTGTTCTGTCGGGAAATTACAATTTTCATATAGAAGTTTCTTTGAAAGAAAAATACGTTGTTTCAAATGCTTCAGTAAAACACTCGGTGTCATTCTTCATCAGTATGCAGGTACTTTAAACATTCCCTTTAAACTTAATGCTGTACCAGACTCCATGAAACAACTGCTTAAGGACTATGCTACAGCTTGGTATTTTTTAGGCCTCCAAAAGCACAAGAACTTACCAGTGCACTACAAAATTAGAACTTTCAATTGCATAAAATAGACATTATCATTATGGACATATTTACCCAAAAGCAAGAGTTTCATGAACTGCTTACCCTTCCACAAGAGTTCTATTGGCCAAGCGTATGCAGTGCTCCCAAAGGATGTTGGAGACTGGCAGAGGAATACGGACTCTCTTAGACACCTCGTTCAACCTTCTGTTAAATTCTTCAAACTCCTGATGAAACATGAAAGATTCCTTTAGCTTAAAAGGGGTCATACTCTATACATCCCTAACAACCACAGCAAAGAATTAGAAATGCACATGAAAGAGCATACTGAAAAGTAAGAACAAAGCAGAGAACCTTAATGGGCACAGACTGCAGAGACAAGCTTGACATACGAAGTAGAAAGCATACCACTTTCTAGTATATCATTCACATTACCTCAAGTAATACTGCTCTGTTCCCCAGAGGTGCAGTTTGCCCAGAAAGTTACACCTCTGAAAATTAACCCAGTAGCTAATCCTTCAAATGCCATTTTCATTGCTTCACTCCCTAAATTCATCTTTAACTTTTTTAAAGTCAATATACAGCCACTAAAGAAAATCCTTCTTTATCCTTCTAAATACCCACCCCCATCAGCTTTCAAACAGAAGCTCAGAAATACTGTAACCACTTCTCATTCTTCAACCTTTCACATTAGATAAGTTCCCTGGTGCTTTAAAAGGAGCTGAGAGCACCCACTGAAGAGTCCAAATCTTAACTGTTCAAAAGCATACTGCAACACAAGATAAAAATTCAGGTTGAGAGAAGGCACCTGTTTCCACATGAAACATCAACAGCCTGGATAGATTTGAGCTGTTACAATGAGTGATACACTAGTCACAACTGAACGTAATTACTGCTACTGTAATTTTGTGACTTACATCAAGCGAAATAAGTCTGCTGCAAGTGACTAATGCCTCTGCCATTTTAAAAAGGTATCAAACACTCTCCCCCTGCCTCTCAAAAATCCAGTATGTGAAAAATATCAGGAAGGAATCTCAGCAATCAGTTTAACCTAGTATCTGACCACATAATTGATGCTTAACACAAATTCTCTAAAAGAGGAATTTGGCAAGAGAAAGCAGGGTACCACAATGTCATGCTTTAACTGGTATGCAACCCATTTCTGAAGATGAAGGTGCCTAACACTCCACGCTAATGAATTTCTTGAACAATTCTCTTTCCCCACTTCATTTGCTTCCATACATATTATGGCTCTAAATACAGAATCTCATGTAACTGTAGACATGGCTAAAATAAGTTTGTTTTTAAATTAAGCATTGTGCTGACATCTGACACTCCTGGAGTTCCAGGGTACACAGCAAATGACTTACTGCTCAGCAGTAATCTCAAACCTTCTGTAGCAACCATTATTAGCTATATAATGCAGAAGCCAGAAATGGTTTTAAATGGTATTAGCCCTGACTGTCCTGAAGCAAATTCTTCAGCAGTTCCACATCCATGAAAGGAGAAAGTTCTACTACAAAGACCAAATGTTTTAAGCACAAACTGATTTCAAAAAGCCATGGCAGCATATAGAATGGTAATCACAAAGATTCAGTCAAATTCAGTGCAATAATACATCCTCTAACAATTCTTCCTTCTTTGCATTGTTTTATTTTAAGCAGAGAACAGCTACAAAGTACCAAGGTGTAATCAAACTTACTATTCAGCACAGATTCACAACTTTTTCTCTGATACATACTTTACACAACCTTAAAATATTTTTTCAGCTTCTGTGTAAGAATTAGTGTAATTCTACCACTGCCAGAACTTCCTTTTAACGACCTTTAGAAACATCATTTAGGCACATAGAAAAGGATGAGAGAGGGATTCTTCCAAGAACAGGTTCTGTATGTGTAAGACACAGCAACTGTAAAGCCACTTCTACTGAATGCAATTAAGAAGCTGGGTGAACAACTTCCCTTCTACCTTCCTTTTCAAATGCTAACTTCTGAATATAGCAACTTCAATTGGATAGTGCACAGTCATTCTCAGTTCCGGTCTGACCTATAGTCCCCATGATCTCAAAGATAACCACTAACATTATGCAGAACAGCAAATAGCCTTTGTTAAAAAAAAAACACAAACAAACAAGCAAAACCCATCTTCCACCGATCCCCCAACCCCTCCCAAAAACCCCAAACCATCCCTACCCTACAGAAAAACCCAAACAAAAAACAGTATCTCAGGTCACTGAAGTTTCCTCACTGCTGCTCTGGTTATGACACATACATCTACCATTCAAGACTAAGACAGGAAACTCATTAAACTTTTATGGTCACTTTCAACTACCATGTAGTCAACAAATCATCACTGAAGCAATCTGCTAGCAGCAAGAACAATAAAAATTCTGGACTGACCTGCTTTTAACAAATTCCCATTTGTCAGGACGCTGTATTGCTTTAACCATGCTACCTTCACAGTTTTAGTGAAGTATTACAGCAATTTAATGTTTACATAAACTCTTGCACGCTGTTTCCCAGAAAGTACTCACCTTTAAAAGAGCATCTACATATATATTGTGTTGTGACATGATTTCCTTCACATCCCATTTCACATTAGCCATGAGAAGCAGCATTTGTTCATAATCAATTGCTTTAGCAGCAACAATCCAATAAACAGGTTTACGTAGCTCACTGGCAGTTGACACTGTCTGAAACAGAAGAGAAATAAAATTCAATTCAGTAAATTTCTGGCTAATAAAAGCAATATATAACTCAAATGTATAAGTATTTGCACCATATTGTACAAGTTTGAAACTGCTTCTACAAAGTTTCAAACCTTTTGTTTAAAAATCAGCTGTGAATTACACAATTCTGACCTGAGAATAGAACTGTTGAAGAAAAGGCTTCTTGGCAGCTGGCATCACTGCATCAAGATGAGGCTGAAGACACTCAAACTGCTCAGCCAGAAATACCCTTTGAAAGCAAAGAAAATGCAACATTTGGCATGTCTCTGTACAACTTTTACTCTACAGTTGACATATTTGCCAGTAATGATATGTAACCTTGGAATATTTAGTCCTAACCATAACAATATATCAGCAAGTATCCTCAATTCTGTCAATTTTAAAATATAACTGCAAACAAGAAAATGCATGAATAAAGACACTAATGCTTGAATACCAACAATTCATATTTCTGTTTTACGCAGGATACACTGCAAAGCTCTGATCCAAATAGTAAAGTCAGTGGAAAAGTGTCCCGTAATTGCCATACTGTAGGGCAGTCAGTATCAATATTAACAAATCTATGTCAGAATTTGAAAATAGCGTTCCTCATTACATATATATAAGGGAATCTCTAAAAGATAGAATATGAGATCACATTCTTTCTCAGGGGTAGCACTGGTTAATAACAACATAACAAAAAATAAATTTCTAACTAAATTCTAACTATTCTTGACCAAATAAAACCTATTTTGTGAGTTTTGTGTTACTTGCTAGTTATAATCTCCTCTTCATAGGTACATTTCCACACATTGCAAAGAACATTGCAATCCAAGCCAAACCAATATGAACTAATCAGTTCTGAGTCTCAGCCATCACCATTTGAGGACTTAATATAAGGTTTACATGAACCATACACATTAAATACTCCCATCAGCCTCTTTAAAATTAAACTTTTCTCTTGTTAGATTTGGCCTTGTACTGTCACAAATTACTGGACCAGCTGCAGTAAAATTTCATTGCTCATGCTTGCAGGTGGTTAGACCAGATGGTTAGGCCCCACTACCTTTAATTAAGAAATTACCTCTATCACTCATATTTAAAATCACATTGAGATGCAGGAATTTTTGACCTCTCGAGAATGTTTTGGCTTGCAATCACAATCTCTTAAACAATCCATAGCTTCCAGTGACCACAAAATGCAATGTATAGTAAATAACCTACAAAGACTCCGTGGCCACCACTCTCTCTGCCAAACCATACAGCGAATTGCGAGATGTCAAAATTACAAGATGACTGAGATGTGGGCTTGGCACCTTCTCCTTTCTCTCTTCAGCAGCTGTGAGAGTTCCTGTGGGATCAGCAGAGACCTCCTAAAACAAAGAATTAAACAAATGAAAAACCACAAAGACGGCAAGAATGGCTCCAGCTGAGCAGTTTCAGATGACAGATCAGATGAAGGAATGGTTCTAATTCTAAGTTGTAATTTTAATCAAGCCTGAATGAAAAGAATTTTCTATTTGAACTGTGTGGTGTTTAAACAGGTGGAAAAAAATCATCTCATGTAGGTCAGTATTTAAGGGGAAAGAAAAAAAGGCACAGAACAAAATTCTTACTCCACCTTCTTGCTCATTTAGGCTTTAGCCCAACTGCCTACTGGGAGACTGACTTCTCGCCCTCAGAAATCATATCTTCAATTTGACAGCAACCAAATAAGGCAACAAATCAAAGGAGTATTACTTATACATGAGCTTTACTGTTTATGTGAGCTGCAGCTAACTGGAGTAAAATACAAATGATGTTTCTAAACAAGTTCTCATTCCATAAAAACTTCTATCCTGCAAACATCTCAAATGTAAAATGCAAGGAAATATTCATAGCAGAGGAAAAGAATCTGTAATAAGAAACAGGTTACAGCTGTTGTAAAACTAAAAACCAAACAACAAAACCCCAAACCAAAAACCAGGGAAAAAAAAACTGGGGGGAGGGGGGCAGAATGAGGGGGGTGACAAAGTGAAAAAAGCCTCACCTCTGCATTTGAGGAATATTAAGTACATGTTACAGCTAGAAGGGGAATCACAGAAGGAAGAAATTCCCAGGGCTATCATATTGGTCTAAGTAGATTATAAACAGACACCCCTCTGAAGCTTAGCTATTTACCAAAACCATATCAGTACATGAAAACATAAACGTAGTTCTGGCTTTAGACTAATCACTTATATCATGCTTACTGCCTACACAAAGGCTATAAAAATATAAGAAATACTATGAAATGAAGGTGATATAGAACCCAGAATACATAAAAAATAACATACATAACAAATTTGGGTAGTAACATAGGGACAAAGTAGTGCTAAAAATAATTTCTTCAAAAGCAAGATCAGCTGCACAACATGTCTGCTATAAAATAAGATATGAACACAACCAATATGACAACAATAATGCCTAATATGACATTTATGGTTCAACTCAAAAAACAAATTAGCATAATTCTCAGATTGCTGTAAAACTGGACAAAGACGAAGTCAAAAACATGATAATAAATATAGCAGCTTTACAGTTTGGGTTTGGGTGTTTATGGTGGGTTTTTTTATGGGGGGGTGGGTTTTTTGTTTTTTTTTTGCGGGGGGGGGGGGTGGTGTTGGTTTTTTTTTTCCAGTTGGAGATAGAAATTAATTGCAGTGACATAATTAAAGAAGGAGGAGGAAAAATAGACTCAAGCTGACCACAACAGTCACCAGCAGTTTCTTCAGGCTTCACAGCAGTGAACAACTATGAGGAGTGCCATGAAATAGAATATTTCTATTCACGCTTTTTAGACAGTTTTGCCTAAGAAGAAAAGGAGATCAGTGAGCATTAGAAACAACAATGGAACTAAGTCATTGTCTAACTCATTCTAAATACCAGGCTTGAGACAAGGAAAAATATGCATTGAAGATCTTGAAAAGCCAAGAGAAAAGGTACTGCACAGCTGACCAGCTGAAAAGCAAAAAAACAATAGGGAGGTTATTCTGGCAGCAAAATATCTGACAGATCCATTGTGATTATGCTGCAGCAATTAAAGGCAGGGCAGGCAAAAACAGATTATGTCAAAATGTGTAAAGACTTGGTGAGAATTTAAGTGATACAGAGTGAGCAGAAAGATCAACACTTTGCTGCTACAGACAAAGCAGCAACAGAATGTGTTTATTGCTTAGATGAAAACCAAGCCAAAAGTGACATTAAGAATATAAGACAAATGGGGAAGATAACAGTGTCCAAGCTGTTGAAAATGGTTTGAAGTGTGGGGGAACAAAAAAAAAAATAATCACAAGTTCCACTTTATCTTGAATTTTAGTTGACAGTTACCTCCTATCATATAACAGTCCGAGGCAACAGAGAGGTGGATTTCCTAAATCAGAAAGGCTCTTTCAGTTCTGCGTCTGCCAAAAATCTCAAACACAAACATAAAAATGGGTACAGCAGATGGAACAAAGCACAGACTGGGAAAGCAGAGTTCTCACTATCAAGGGTGAAGAAGTTACCTTCAGACTTCTAAGAAAAACCCCATCCCTATAATAGGTTACAGAAGCAGAAAACAGATAAACAGGGAGCCTTGAAGGATCTTCGCAGAAATTCTGACATTAAAACCAAAGGCTGATGACTGAGCAATACCATCAACACATCATTTGAAGCGCTAAAAGATCTCACATAAAGAGATCAAGGAGCAGAAGAAAAGACTTCTAAAAGAAGCTTACAGTAAATACTATCAGATAAGTTGCACTGAGCATGGGAATGATTACAAAAGACTAGCCACATCACTATGTTAGTTGAAAAATGAATTCTCTTTGTTCTGATCTGTGTTCAGGTTCAGCCAGATAAATCTGCAATTAAACAGGCCTGACATTTCACAATACCATGAAGTTTGCATTCTGCTGAGTCTATCAGAATGGTTTTGCAAGCCAAAAGGCCTGGGTATGTGCTAAAACTCATGTAACCTCTTCTAGTCAGCTCTGAAGATACCTACCTAGTACATCCACAAGCAGACTGCAGACAGGCAATAAAATCTAACCATCCAGGCATAACAGTCAATTCTCTAAAAATCCTGACTGAATCAAAGATACTCTTAACTATCAAAACCCACTCTTTATCTGCTTTCTCTTTTTCAAGTCATTCTCAAAAAGTTAACAAACAAACAAAAAGAAGATTTGAACTGTTTACACATTATCAAAAAAACCCCACCAAAACCTACAGCCCATCAACCAATTCTCTAGTCTTAGGAGACTGTTCTAAAGCTCTGTTCAGCCACAGAGCTGGGGAAGCAGTATCAGTGGTAAAGGTTTAAGCATCTTTGTTTCTTTCAAAGACTAATTACAAATTATGTAAAACCCAAATATTACAAAGACTTAATTTTGCATTTATGCAGTCCAAAGTTGCCCATCACTTCAGTATTGAGATACACTTTAAACTTTTTCTTTTCTATCTCCCTGCTTCCTATGAAGCTCAATACCTTGTGAACCTTTTAAATGCTGAAGTCATGTTGCACCTGAAGACACAAAACGTGCATGAGACAACTGGCTAAGTCAAAGGGATACTAGGGTTCAACCAGGGAGTCAAACTCTAGTTCAAATCTACTGGCCAAACACAGTACAAGCATTTAATTCTCCTGGTTTGTTCCAATAAGAAAGTGGTGAAAAAGCATGTTGATAGCAAAAATGAAACCCAAGGAAATAGCCAGTGTGCCAAACCCCAAGAAAAGCACAAGATCACTCTGACGGGGCTTCCATAATGCACGTGTTTTTTTTCCTCCAGCCTTCATTAATAGAAATTATTAAATGACCATGTGGTTTTTGTCACAAAACACATCCAAAACCTCAGTTAGATCAGTCCCACTGACTTCAGGAACAGAATTCAATAAAATCTGTGCAGAAACTTCTTGGATCTTTGCATTTCATACATTTCTTAGCATTCAAAATTAAGTGGCAGACTTCTGCATAAAAAAATACCAAAGGTTAGTGAGTTTATTGCTATCTCATCTAGCCTAATGCAACAAGGCCTCTATCAGGAATCACTCTGTGTTGACAGACAACTTACAAATAAGCTATTAACTATGCCTCCGAAAATAAGTATCAGAAAAGCCTCTGCACAAAAGCACACACGCTCTCAGACCCATGGGAACCCAAACCACTACCTTACAAACTCACGTAAGCAAATCTGGTACATTCACACACATTTTTACTGCAGCATTTTTCTTATCCAAAGAAAGATTTTCAGTAGGAGCTGATGATGATTCCCAGGCGCTCAACTGTAACTCTGTGAACACCTGCAGTTCTCTGGGACTAGGAATCAGCCCAAGCTTTGGGTGCCCAGCAAGAAGAGCCTGAAGGGACTAAAATGAGATGGCTCCATGATTGCCCAAAGAGAGACAAAGCAATTGCCAAAGCCCAGAAAACTTATTCAAGGAAGTAAGTTGGAAAGCTTCACTAAATCATTCCAGTCTACTTGGGTAATACAGTGAAGCAAATAAATAAGAAGTTGTATCAAGAGCTCTAAATTAATAATGTGAAGAAGCAAAACAGTTGCAGAAGTCCGAGTATGTTTTCAAAGTGCTTTTCATGACAGAACTTCCTTTTGTATACAGAAAGTTCTCACTCCTTGACAAGCAATTCACACAACATATTGTCATTATGTATGTTGTACACATCTTTCTAGGGAAATACAAACAAACAAATATATAAATAAATCACAAATTGTCCTTTTTCCTTCAGGCTTTTTTCTTTGAAGGAGCAGGAGACCAAGCAAGGACTGTAAAAGTTGGAGAAATTATCTTCGATTAAACAAGACCTCACTAAGAATCACAGCTCACAGCTACCATTTCAGTGAGGAGCTTAGCTATGTATTTAGGAGCAGCGTCCTGCACTAGGCACTGCCATGTCGAGTAAAGAATCCCACAGCCAAGACTCTTCAGAGCTTGCCATTGGGATGCTAAACCAGGATATAAAACGGTATATGTCCACGCAGGACTATGTGCTGACATTTTAAATAAAACCAAATTGCTTGTTTCCAGAACTGGGATTAGTGTAACTGAGCCATACCGTTCCACAGCATTGAAAGGTCAAAGCCAAAACTGGCCGGAAAGACAAGCACGAAGAAAAAAAGCTTTCCTCTCAATCCTTATCTTATTTGTACAGATGAAAAATCTACATTTTCCATGTCTGCACCTTAGATCTCTAAGCTACTGTCTGCCAAAAGATATATACTTTAAGGGGGAAAAAGCCCAAAAGCTAAAGCAAAAGCAGAACCTAAAATACATTAACTGATACTTCTTCATACCAGTGATTCCTCCCTCCTACTTTTCTATGCATTGCATTGCAATGCTTATATACTGTTTTAC